TTCACTAACCCCAACAACACACAAGTGGTGCTTTTATTGTCTAGTTTAGTTCTTCACATATCAGGAATATGTGCATGTGCTATGCATTCAAAGACTCTGAAATAACTAACCGAAGGTTTCACACCACTCCATGCTTCCTTAGGTGTTATATCTTTCATAGCCAGCATAGGACACCTGTTTAAGAGATAAATAGTCCAGTTTATTGTCTTTGGCCAGAAAGACTTAGGAATGCTTTTACTAGATAACATGGATCGAACCATATTCATCACTGTTCTGTTCTTCCTTTCAGCAATGTCATTTTGTTATGGTGTGAAGGCAGTGATTAATTGCCTCTTTATCCCGTTCTCTTTGCAGAATTCATTTGAATTGAATTCTCCCCCTTTGTCTGTTCTCAAGCATTTAATAGACATTCTAGCCTCCTTTTCAACCATAATTGAAGCATTTGAAAGAGTACAATGTTTCTTATTTTTTTGCCAAAAAATACACCCATGCTTTTCTACTGTAATTATTAATAAACAGTAGAATATACCTTTTGTTACTATTAAATATGGGAGTGATGGGACCACATATATCCGCATGAATGAATTCCAACTTCTGAGTTGCTCTCTAATTACTCTTCTTGGGAATAGGATCACGATGTTGCTTCCCTTTGATACAATCGGTGTTGACTTCAGTTAATAGAGGAAGGTGAGGAAGGCCACGTACCATTTTCTTGCTGAGCATTGTTCGCAAGCCACTATAACTCAGATGGCCATATCTTTGCTACCAAAGGTGTGATAAATCTTTGGTACTTGTTTGAAAGCACTGATTAACCGATGAAGGAAATAGGAAGAACATCTTATTGGTACTCATATTAGTTTGAATGATCAAACCCTTTTCTGGATGAAAAATCTTGCACTTTCCTCCTTTGATTAGAATGGTCAAACCTTTCTCTTGTAACTGTCCCATACTCAACAAATTATTTCTCAACTCTGGAATATAATATACTTCGGTGAGTATTAGGTTTACTCCACCTAACGATAAATTTATGCTTCCTTTCCCCATCATATTCATCTTTTTATTGTTGCCCAATTTCACGGAATGAAGAAAAGTATCATCAAGTTCGTGAAACAGAGTTGAATCACCGCACATGTGATTTGAGCATCCTGAATCAAGGAACCATGCTTCTTTCCTTTTAAACTCTGATGACTCTTCATAGGCCATTAATAACAGTTCTTCTTCCTCGACATAATTGACTTCTTTGTTCTGAGGGCATTCAGAGCAAAAATGGTCGAGTTGATGGCACTAATAACATTCAACGGTTGCTTTGTTGAAATAACCACGACCTCGACCTCTTCCTCTTCCTCAATGACCACCTCAACCCCCTTCAGCAGCCACTTGCAGCGCCTGTTCCTCATTATTTCTTCTTTGAAATTGTTATTCGTGTACCACTAATGAGCTTTGTAGCTCATCAATGGAAAGATCATCGATGTTCTTGGATTCCTCAATAGAACACACAATATAATCAAATTTCTCTAAAAGAGAACAAATAATTTTTTCAACCACCTTAACATCAAGCATGTTCTCTCCATAGGTTCACATTTTATTGGCCACTGTCATAACCCTAGAAAAATACTTTGTCACAGTTTCACCAAATTGCATCTCCAGAACTTCAAATTCTCTGCAGAAATCTTGAAGATGAGACCTTCTAACCCTTGCATTTCCAGCATATTTCTTCTTCATAGCATCCCATATCGCTTTAGAAATATCTTTTGCGAGAATGGTGTCGAGAACTGTGCGATCAATTGCTTGAAAGAGGTAATTCTTTACCTTGAGATCCTTAAACTTCATCTCATCAATCCTCTTCCGTTGGGTTTCGGTCTGTGTTGTATCATTTGTTACTGCAACGTAACCTGGATTAATTAATTCCCGGTACTCCTTCGAGCGTAGAAAGTTCTCCATCAACATGTTTCAATGATCATAGTGACCATCCAAGCGAGGAATAGCGGGTTGTACAAAACTTCCTTATGAAGTCATGTTTTTTTGCTAGAAACGAAACTTAAAGATTCCTACTTTGATGTATCAGGCCCAGTAGGCTCTAATACCAAATCGGTAACACTGTTGTGTGAATAACTACTAGTATTACAGGTAACTAATGACTTGCCTTTTATTGATGTGCAATAGAGTTTAAATAAACCTTGAGTAAGAAATGCAATAACCCACTTAGCATAAATATAGGCTAGTGGTGACAAAATATCAGTAACAGAGATAACAGAAAAAAATAGGACATCTTAATAACCACCTATATATTATTCAAAATAACAGGTATTCAAGTCTTACTAACAACTTAGTTATCAAATTACCAACAACTTTCTTTTTTTAATTCATACACCACAAGAAAATTGCATATTTCTAACGAAATTTAACCGCGGATTTGTAGCCATCGGAAAATGAGTCATTATCGACGGAAATTACCGACGGATATAAAGTATTTGTAGAATTTGGTCTTACCGACGGATATATCAGTCGGTAAAATAATAATTAGTTACCGACAGATATATCCGTCGGTAAATCCGTTGGTAAATTTTAACAATTATTATCGACAGATATTGTTGTCGGTAAATCCATCGTTAATTTAACAATTAGTTACCGACGGATATATTCGTCGGTAAAATTATATTCTAATAAATTAATTATTCACCTAATTAAAAAATTAAATATTTTTTTATTTAATAATTTAATTTAATCATAATTAGATTAATTTATAATAATTTATTAAATTAAATAATTTTAAAAAATAAATATTTAATTATATATAAATATATTATTATATTAATATATTTGTATTTATATATTTACATGGATATATATATTTATTTGTATATAAATATAATTTATTTGTGAATTATTATAAAAAAATTATAGTAACTTAGTGATTAGCCCAATTTCGAATGGATTTTTGGTCGTCGAAATTCTGTCGATAATATTTATTTACTTACAGATTTTTGTTATTACCGACAGATTTTGACTGTCAGTATTTTCAATATTTCTTTTAATGATATCCGTCATTGTATTTCTATCATATATTTAATTAGCTTGAATCTCTCAATCTTAAAATAATATTCTAATTTTTATTTACTCACTTAATCCCTTAGAGATTGAAATTAGTTAATTCCAATGTTATCTACTAGCATCCTCGTAATAGAATGTCTCCTACACACGAGAGTTTCTTTTCACACAACAAAATGTCTTCTCACAAACTAGTGAGCATCAAACAGAGGTTAAAAAAATAGCTCCAGATACCACCTATTAGAACACATACTAAACAAAGAAAAGGGAAAGGGAAAGAGAACAAAAAAAATGTGTGTAAATTTTTATTTCACACGCATATATATATATCACAATACATATTATTATTTATAGAACAATTATGTGTAACATTTATTAATTACCTAAGTAATACATAATGTTAATTGAATTATTCGCAATATTAAATTGATTAATTTGATCGACATAATTTTTTTTAAATAAGAATTATAATAATATTTTTTTCCTTGTAATTTTAATTATATTGGCCGTAATTATTTCAATTAATGTTTTTATTCAAACCCTACCGATAAATGATGTAATTTTGAAAGATTTTTTTTTTAATTTGGAGATGAAAATTGTTATATGGGCTAAAAATATATTTAATTTTTTTATTAACTATAGGATTAAAATTAGAATTTATTTTTTTATTAATTCAGTTTAATATTGTATATGCCCAAACCGTTTTAATAAAATGATAAGTTTATTTTTCATTTTACATTATAAAATAATTTTATTTATTTATCTTCGCATACACAAGAAAAATAGCAAGGATATGGATTTGTACCTTCACTTTTTTTCAGAAATTCTTAATAAAAAATAGCAAGACATTTGTACCTTTACTTTTATAAACTGTAAGAATTAAATAATTTTTTTATGGAAATTAAATATAATAAAACATCTATTTATCAATGGATCCATAATGAAGAGTGATAATATATATATATATATATATATATATATATATATTAATGATCATAATATAATGATATCCGTTTAAGATATTCATTTTTATTTATTTTGGATTTTATCAGCAAATATTTGTGGCTATAGATAATTTTGAAGGAGACGGATGTGTGAAAGCAAAACAACTGTAAGGTTTTTTTTTTTTTTAATGCGTTTTAAAGTGAAGCATAAATTGCAAACCAGACAAAAGAAAAAAAACACGAGAATTTTTAGGGCTTATCTTTTTATAATTTGTAAGAATAAATTTCAAATTTTTCAAATTTTTACTAATAAAATCATTACATTATACATTTTTGTCGCTATCATACAACTTTTTTTTCAATTTATTCTAAAAAACAATTCTTTAAAATTGGTCATTAAAATTATTTAAAAAATAAATAAATCAGCAAGTACGTTGTATTCTAATGGATTACAGATACTTTTCAAATTGACGTACCTATTTTTTAGTACTTTTACATGGTACGTATTTATTAAATAAACAATCTCTTCCACTTTTTGTTGATTCATTAATGAATAAATCATCTAAACTCAATATTACTGTATTATTATTATTATTATTATATGCATTATTGGAACAATTTTTGTCTGTGCATGGAATCAACCAACGGCAGTAGGTAAGGTAGTATTGATCATTGCGTGAGAGACTTACAAGAACTCACCAAATGATCAAAACACACGTGCCAACAACGTGCGTGCCAATTAATTAATAAAAACCAAATCTTAAACCAACCAAACATTTCCTTAGCATGGATGAAGATTCTACTTTCCATTCTTGAATTAGTAACTCTGTAACTGGTGGTTGGAGCTTCCCATTTGTTCTCACCTATCTATGATACTATATGAAGGGTAGATACATAAACTCACTCACCGACACTTCAACCTTATTCACCTGTTTTTACAGCACCCGATATAAAGGCCAAATATTCTTTCATGCCCTCAACAAACCACTCAAGCCTTTATCTATTCTCATGGCACCAAAGATCATCAACAATGGAACAGGCAAGAGATCAGCAATTAACAGAGGTTCATGGACCCCAGAGGAGGACAGAAAGCTTGCCCAATGCATTGAAACTCATGGTGCAAAGAGGTGGAAGACTGTTGCACTCAAATCAGGTTCGAGATGACAACCTACAATGCAACAACTCTACTAGTTTAGTTAGTTTACTTGAAAGTTGTTTTAGAAAATAATGGATATCTTGAAGAATTGAAACCAAACAGACCTAGTTCTGCAGCTTTTAACCTGCTTAATTTGCATGTTTGGTAGGTTTGAAGAGATGTGGAAAGAGTTGCAGGCTGAGATGGTTAAACTATCTGAGGCCTAATATCAAGAGGGGAAACATATCAGATGAAGAAGAGGATTTGATTCTTAGGCTTCACAGACTTCTGGGAAACAGGTTTGTCATCATCATACTATTCTACTCACTATTTATAACTTTTTCATATTACAAAATCTTTAAAAAAAAAAAAAAACAAACGAACTCATTTCATACAAAATTTTGCTATAAATAGAACAATTCTAATAGTATATTACTTTCTTTTTGTTCTTTATTTTTTCTTTCTACCTCTCACTTTTCCTTGCCCTTATTATTTGTAAGTAACGTAGGGTTTAGGATTTAGTCTCATGAAGACAGACACAAGAAGAAAAAATGTACTCGTTCATTTTAACCAACAGAAATTCTATAAAATCAAATAAAATTAAGATTAGTGATATTTTTACAACCACAAACCATAACTCTTAGACAACTCACTTTTATTAATATAACAATGTATTGAATGATTTAATAAAAATAAAAATAAATTAAAACTATTATTATAATATTAAAAGAGAATTGTATACAGTAGTAGTTGTATGAATTTGGGTTGTCAAAGTATTATTTTCCTAACAAGATTAAAAACCATTAATGTCACGGAAAGTATTGTGTAAATGTAACACAATATTATCTTTTTTGCAAATTTTCTACTAATCTTCTGATTATTTCATAAAAAAATGTTAAATATAAAATTAATATATCCAATGGCTTACTAATATAAAATACATTCTATAATTGCTATATAACTGAAAAAATAAGATATTGTAATAGAATTTCAAATCATTCAATAAGAAGACCTTTTTATTTTTATTTTTATTTTTATTTTTCTTTCTTTCTTCATCATTGCGGTATCATGTAAAATTTGCAACCTTTAACGTACTGTTTTTTCTTTAGATTAAAGAATATTATATTATCATATATAATTATGCTCTTTTGTAAATTTTTCAAGAATTTAAAACTAATGTAATGTGAAGATATAATTAATATATATATATATATAATAATGTTTTATTTAATCTATATTAGTCATATATGTATTTTAACATTCTATTAAAAAAATCTTAATTTATGTGTCATCGTATTTATCATACTCCTCATGCACATTTCTTCATCACGATATGACTGATTAAATGCAAATCCTGATGAACATAACAATGAGATTGTGGTCTTTTATTTTATTTTATTTTTGTGTGGGCTTAGGTGGTCTTTGATAGCTGGTAGGCTTCCAGGACGAACAGACAATGAAATTAAGAATTATTGGAATTCTCATTTGTGCAAAAAGCTGAATAAAAAAGAGGAGAGACCAGAATCTTCAACAACACAGGAAATTACTGGCCAGAATCTGAATGCTGGGCACAACAACCCTGCAATGTCAGAGAACGAGGTTGCAACTAATGAAAGTGGCACCTTGGATGTTACTTTCAACGTTGACGACTTTTTCAACTTCTCTGCAGAATCCAGTGGTTTAGATTGGCTGAACAAGTACTTGGAACTTGACAAGATTCCTGAGTGCACGAAAACATCTCAATAACCAATTTTTTTCCTGTTTCAGATTTGTTGTTTATAGCATGTCCTATTAACAATACATTTAAATGTCCTATTAACCACTTTTCTTTTATAATATTTTACATTTTTCTATTAAATCATGTCATATCTTTTATTTTAACCAATTCAATAAAATTCTTTATTACAATTAAGAATTTACTCATGTTTCTCAATTCAAATACACTCTACAGTATATCTAAATACATCTGTCTTCAATTAAATAATATTTTTTTTAGTCATAGTGGCTTATTTTACAGTGACAGAATCAGAGGCTGCAACTAACAACTCCCATTTGAAGTGGAATTCACCCAATTTTCTCTTCAATGACTGAAAATATTTACCAAGCATTTGTCACGAAAAACATCCTTCTAACAGCTTTAACTTTGAAAATGTTTAGTTGTGTTGAATATTCTACATTTTAACAGTGACATTAAATTTTATCTTAACAGGGTTTATTTTATTATATCTATTATACTATCTGCTATATAGTTTATTTTTATTTTATTTATTAATAAAATATGACACAAAATTATTAGTATACAAGTGTATATAAAAATATTTTACATTGATAAAATATATACATATTAAACTATTAAAATAAATATATAGTTAGATTTTGGTCAATTTTGAATATAGATGACTCACGATTTTGTCTAAAAACCGTATCTATAAACTTTAAAAATAATATATCTATAAATAAACTGTTTTGTAATAAATTTATTAATTTTTACGATAATTACTCTAAAATTTATATCTATTTAAAATTTTAATTAGTTTAGCAAATAATTGTATACTATATGTTTAGCTTAGGTGATAGGGATATAGATAGTTGATATTTCTGGACAATAAGTGTGCATAAAATAGTTAACAGATCGTACCTAAAATAGATCAAAGTTCAGATATTCATTCACCTGAAAATTTTGGAAAGAAGATAACGTTGATCTGTCCCTTTCCATTCAGAAATCTCCTCCTCAAACGTCATTGTAGTAAATTTCAGTCCAAAAACAAGCTGGGCCCCTATGGCTTGTTACAGATCATACACCATTTTGTCTTGTTGGTTAAGTTAAATTCTGAATTCTCATTTTTCTTTTTACATAACAAGTTTAGTTGAGGGGACAACACACTTTTTGGCAGATTCTATGGTAACTAAGGAGAACATTATGTTTGATCTTTTTGTCAAATACGTTACATTTTTTATTTGTAAAAACTAGTAACAGTTTTTTTACCACATGTTTGGACAGACTTTTTAATAGACATTTTTAGGAAAAATATTATGAAGTAAAATTAATTTAGGAAATAGTTAAACATAAAAGTAAAAAAAAAACTAATTTATTATGCATTGATTAAGTAAAAGAGTTCATTTTTATTTATTTATTTATTTTCTTTTATAAGCGTTTATAGAAAAATTTAGTCATATTATCCAAAAAGTTTAGGCTTTAATAACTTTTTTTCTGTAGAGAGAGATTCTAAAGGTTTAAATAGTGATTTAGAAAATTGTTCATGAATGATTTTGATTGTAATATCTCTACGAATTTTAATATTAAGAAGTATCCTATAAGTTACGAGAATGAAAGGGAATCTCTTCCATAATATTTATTCTTGGTCTTACATTTTTTAATAATTAAAATAAGTTGTTATTTTAGATTATTAAATTAAAAAATGCAAATAAAATATACTTTGTTAATTCTTAAAAAGAAATGGATCTTTCTCTTTATATATATAAGTCATTATATCCTTCCGTTTACTGGATATGTCACATGATTTTACAGCATCTGGGTGTTTGATTTCTGGAACTTGTATCATTGCCAATTGACTTTTGGTGTATTTGGGTTTAGGATAAGTGTGAAACACAGGTTGAAGATAAGGGTTGATTATGTTCTTCAAATTGCCTTTAAATTGATTTATATATGATTAAGCGTTAGTTTGAAGTTTTATATCGAGTAAAAATGAAAATTTTGAATAATTTATAAATAAAAATATCTATAACTTAATGTTTTCAACAACCTTTTAGATTAAAAATAATATCTGATATTTAGTTTGTTGGTGTCTTATCTAGGGAAAATCTATCTTCTTATTGTTAGTCCGTGAGAAAGACCCTGCACTGTTACCATTTATCTATTGTAACGTGCGTTTGGTGAAACTTAGTGTAATCTCTCAAACACTTACCTTGGATCTATCCTAACTCCCATACATGCTTCCCTTTCCCTGTTCTTCAAATTCGTTTTAACTAAACCACATAAAATTAAAAAGTATATCTTCTCTCCATACCAATTTCCACTATTAAACATATTACTTGACTCATAATCAACCATCTATTATAGTTTGACGCACGAAGCATTCATCCAATTAATTAATTTAATTAAATCACTCAATTTTTTTATGCATAAAACCCATCATTAAATAACAAAAAAACAGTTTAAATCCATTATTCTTATTAGACTTACCCCTGTCCAATTACTTATAATATAACTTAACTAAAAGTTCAATTAGTAAACCGTTAGGATAAGTTCTAATAGTCAATTATCTTTTCTGCTTTTTGATAATATATAGATTACAACAAATATATAAAACTTAATATTATCATGTCATGCAACTAAGAGATAAGACTATCAAAGTTTATATAAAGACATCTCTATTACAGGGGAAACTTACTTGACCTCATATATACTTGTCATATTTAATTACACTTTTAACATTCTCTTACTCATGGGAATCAAGATCATTGCACATTACAATCAACAACTCTACTTACAAATTGGGAACTTCACCTAATAAACAACTCCGACAATGACATTCTACTTTCATATAAGAACACCTATCAATGATACTTTTGACCCTTTCTATTACCTCGTCCAAACAAGGCTCGTGATATCAAAATAAATGACTCTTTACAAAAATGATTTCTATGTTTGCGGAGTTTGAATCTGGTTCAACTTGTTGAACCATATTGAATGCAAAATCATGTGAAACAGATCATATCTTATTGGTCTTGGGTTCCAAAGGAAATGTTTCTGTACCATCTTCACATTCTTTTGCATTGTAAGATATTTTTCTAAAGGAATGGACAATAAAATTTCCTTCAACCTGGGAATATCCTTCTCGGCCACCACAACAGAAAAAGCACTCCAGTTCAGAACTTCATTAAGAGGAAGGACAAAATTATCTGCAATGATAACAGGAACACACTCGTAATATATGGCTTCAACGATCCTAGGGCTATTAACTTCAAAGCCCATTGGACATACACAATATTTACTTGATTTCATGTGCTGAATATAAGTCATCCTTTGGGAAACTCTCAGAGGTAAACGCTTGTAGATTTTCATGTCTTCATCTTTTCCAACCCCCCAATACCCAAAGAGAATAGGGCGTACTCTACCATGCATGTTTCCAGCAAAGAAAGCAAGGATTGGACGTAGTGATGCTCTATTCCCACCAAGATATCTCAGAGGTTTTCTTGGTACCCTAATGGTAGTTTCTGGTAGGGAAACATCTCTTCCTGAAATAAAAATTCCTTCTGACAAATCAGCATTACATAGAGCTTTTATGGTGTTTTTTGTTAGTTCCTCATGTCCAGTCACAGTGTAAGGACCCTGCAAAGATCAGTTTTGAATAGAAGGCATTAAAAAAGACAGTGACTATATAAAGCAGTAAACTCAAATGAAATTGATCAGCTTCCAAGCAGGGATAACACTGAATATACTAAATTGCAAAAGGGATATATATATATATATATATATATATATATATATGTATGTATATATATTAATTATAGCAATCTCTCTGTGAACAATTGAACACAGTCAATATGATCATGCCGCTTTATCCTTGGAAAACATGCAGGAAAAAAAGCAAAACATGCAAACTGTCATGTTCAATACTATAGAGACTTGCATTATTGAATATTTCAAGTAAAAAAAGATTATTAAAAGATATATGTTGTTTTAGGGATATCGGAATTTGCGGAAGGGTTGTGACCAATTGCTGGAAGAATGTGCCGCAAACATAAGGAGTCTAGGCATTAACTAGAAGTTTTTGCTTCAATTTTCTTTTACAACACAAAACGAAAAAGGAGGAACAGTGGTTAAATTATAATAAATAGGTGGAAACATTGAGAAAAAATGTTCGTGAGCCATGTAACACACAGGTATAAAACTTTTTAAAAGTGTCATGTTGTGCACCCATACTAGCCAAATCTTTCATACCATAGTTATATATTTATCTATTTATGGTGATCACCACCACCAAATATATGGGTACATTTTACTTTGTTAATCAAAGACACTTCAAAGTTAATTTTGCTAAAGAATTTCATTTTTCCATCAAATCAAAGTACTGCATGCAGACAAGAAAAATTGAAAATATAAGAATTAGAAATACTAATACTCTTAAACAGTTATCAATTTAGCAAGATCAAATTATCAGAATCAATCAATTCAACTGAACACAGATACAAGCCCCATACCCAGTCGTGGCAAGCAACGAGGAAATGGTCTGACCCATGTGTGCGATTCCAAAAGGGATACTTTGCAGCAATCTTGTTCACATAGTCGCTAAGAAAGTTTGATAATGGTTTTAAGTTATGTGACCCAGGAACATAGAGTGCCAACTCCAATTGGCGAGCACTGTATGGAAGGTAAAATAAGTGAGCCTTTTCAGGATCCTTGGTGACAAATTGCTTATTTTCCTCCATTAACTTCATAAACCACCCTTCAGAAGCATAAATTCCCTTAAGGAATGGTTTGTGAAAAATAGGCCTTGATCCATCACGGTATATATATACTTTAAGAGTCATTTCCATCAATTCATAGCTCCTGAAGTTGAGACACAATATTGTTTCAAGATGGTTTTTGATACAGTAGATGATGCTATTCACATACCAAAGATGCAGTATCCAAAGAAATAATCCATTCATCAGTACTTACCGAGCTTCATGTCATTTTCGTAGTGATAAGTTTTGGTAATCTCGGAAAGTGTTGTGAAGACTATAAGATCAAATGCTTATTTTACTGAATACAGGGTTTGACTTCTTGTAAATAAGGAGTACTTGCATATGCATGATTCCATGAATAAATTAACAAAAAACAAAAGTTACAGCCATCGAATTGCTAAACTAGCTCTCCAACTCTTTAACCTTCACCTAAAGCTAGAAATAGTGGAACTATGCAGTAACCGAATCCAGCAGTTTAGAAGAGGTTGACCGTAGTCATTAATTTAACCTAAAATCACCTGTCAAACTTCCCATTTCAAAGGATTTATAATTATTAATTATAATTGTGATAAAATTTAGAATAAGTGGTTCTTTGAGAAGGTAGTGGGCCTAGTAGTCTAACTCTAAAGTTAAAGCATTGTCACCGGGCTTTAGAATCTGTGATGAATCTGTGCTTTCTATACTTTTCCAAGTTCAGAAAAGTTATACAAAAACTGAGCAGCACATTATTGGTACTGCTTGTTAGAGATGTAATATAAAACTATTTTCATATTTTGACCAAGTAGCTTATGAAATAATTGTTAGAGATGTAATATAAAATTATATGTGTCAAGCTTGGAACAAATAAATTCCATTCAAGGTCCTCTTAAAGACTTTGTCAACACATCTGCAAGTTGATCATTGGATCCGACAAATTCAGTGCAAATTTTTTTAGACAACAATTTTTCACGAATAAAATGACAATCAAGTTCTATATGTTTGGTCATTTCATGGAACACTGGATTAGAGGCAATGTGGAGAGCTGCTTGATTGTCACAATACATTTTCATCTGTTGGATCTCACAAAATTTCAGTTCTTGAAAAAATTGTTTCACCCACACTAGTTCACAAGTGAGAGACGTCATTGCTATATATTCAACTTCAGCACTAGACCGGACCACTATATTTTGTTTCTTGCTTTTCCAAGAAATATTGTTGCCTCCAATGAGAACACAATATCCTGTAGTGGAGCGTCTGTCCATAGGGGATCCAGCCTAATCAGCATCACAATACCCAGATATTTGGGTACCCCTTTATCTTCATGCAACAGACCTTGTCCTGGAGTCTTTTTGAAATATTTTAGGATGTGAACGACAACATTCCAATGATCAGTACTCGGATTTTGCATAAACTGACTGACAACTCCAACGGTAAAAGATAGGTCAGGTCTGGTAATGGTGAGATAAATGAGTTTTCCAACAAGTCTTCTATATCTCTCAGGATCAGAGAGAGGTTCACCCTGATCCGCCATTAATTTCTGATTTGGATCCATAGGGCTGTCTACTGGTCTACAATCAACCATGCCTGATTCTTTTAGGATATCTAAAACATACTTTTTATGGAAGACTACAATGCCTTCTTTTGATTGAGCCACGTCAATCCCTAGAAAGTATTTGAGACAACCAAGATCCTTAGTTTGGAAGTGATTGCATAAATGTTTCTTTAGCAGAGAAATTTTATCAACATCATCCCCTGTAATGACTATATCATCCACATATACAATTAAATAAACATATTTTTTTGAAGCAGTATAATAAAAAACAGAATGATCTGCTTCATTTCATTTTAGTCCAAAACCTTGAATAATGTGACTAAACTTTCCAAACCAAGCACGTGGAGATTGTTTGAGACCATAGAGAGAACGATGTAACTTACAAACCAAACTAGACTCCCCCTGAGCAACAAAACCAGGAGGTTGTTCTATGTAAATTTCCTCCTCAAGATCACCATGCAAGAAAGCATTCTTGATATCTAACTAATGAAGAGGTCAATGACGGATAGCTGTTATAGCAAAGAAAAGTCGAACAGTAGTCATTTTGGCCACAGGAGAAAAAGAATCACTGTAGTCAAGGCCATAGATTTGAGTGTATCCTTTTGCTACTAATCTAGCTTTGAGTTTATCAACTTCACCTTTTGGTTCAAGTTTAATGACATAGACTCAACGACAACCAACAGTCTTCTTCCCAGGTGGAAGAGGAACTAAGTTCCATGTACCATTGTGCTTAAGAGCCTGCATTTCATCAATCATGGTTTGTCGCCATCCAGGATGATCAAGTGTCTCTTTCACATTTTTAGGAATAGTAATAGTGAATACAGAAGAAACAAAAGAAAAATAGGAAGGGGACAATCTGTAGTAGCTAAGAAAATTGTAAATGGGATGTGAATTACGAGTAAAGCGAGTACCTTTGCAAATGACAATGGGCCAACTTGAGTTATCATTATCAGGAATCGTGGTATTAGGGGATGATTGAGAAGGATCTGCTGAGGAAGACTCATCTTGGGGTATGGAACTGATCATTTGGCTCCTGTGTTGATAGGTAATAAGAGACAGTGATGAGGATTCCAGTGTATTTTGTGTGGAATTTTGGGTGTCAAGAGGAGGAGGTACAAATGGCTCCACTAAGGTTATAGGTAGGACATTTTGGACCGAACTAATATCCTGCATAGAAGAAGGGAAGAAGGGAGTTGATTCAAAAAAAATGACATTAACAGACATGTAGTACCTCTTGGTTTCAGGAGAATAACATTGATATTCTTTTTGAAAACGAGAATATCCCAAGAAGACACATTTGATGGCTCTAGCTGATAGTTTATCTAAACCTGGAGACATATCATAAACAAAACATACGCAACCAAATACACGAGGAGAAACATGAAAGAGTGGATCCTTTGGCAATAAAATAGAGTGTGGAACTTTATTGTCAAAAGAAGAAGATGACATTTTGTTAATGAGAAAACATGCAGTAAGAGTAACATCTCCCCAATGATGAACAGACATATTTGCACCAAGTAATAAGGTACAAGCAGTTTCAACCAAATGTCTATTTTTTCGTTCTGTAAGAAAACTGACGAATGGCTGAAGCGGACAGCTGTAGCGGAACGGAGGCCGGAAGGTCACTGGAAAGTGGTCGGAAAGTCATGGATGGCACCAAAAAAGTGACCAGACAGGGGAATCGGACAGTTGTCGAAAAGTTGCCGGAAAGTGACCAGAAAATGGTCGGAAAAGTGGCCGCACGGTGGCCGAAAAGGCAGAGCAGGACCAACCTACTCTAATACCAAGTTAAGAGAGTAAAGAGAATTAAAAGAAGATTTATAATTCAGTGAGATGCATCACTCCACTCTATGATCTCATATATAGATATATATATATATATATATATATATATATAGGATTACAGTATTTAAAAAACAACCACCAACTACTAACCACTAACCACTATTTAATAATAATTCTAACAAGTATGATGGAAAAACAAGTGGGATATCCTTAAGAAAAAATGAGAATAGCCAAGTTGTGTGACAAAGGGACATGTTTGGGAGGAGATGATGCAAAGAATCTATAGATACAATGTTTTTAATGTGAAACTGTAATTTCTATATTCCTTTGGTGTAATATATTGTGTTTTACACAAAAAATTAATAAAAATAAAATAAAAAATCCCGCATGGAAAATGCAAGCATTAGTTTAGCTATTTAATTTCTTATTGATTTTGATAGAAAACACGTGACACGTACAACTCCTCTTCTATTTTATGTTAGATACTACTATGTCATTGACTTCATGTCAAGTTTCATATTCATATGCTTGTCTTTTAACTCTCCACCATAGTTTTGATAGACTAGATTTTGTAACCTAAGTATGAGGGATTTGCTAGAAATGGTATGAAGAAATGGTCATGTAAGTTAAAGACATGGTTGTTAATACATGGCTTTGCCGAATTCTCCACATTTTCAGTCCTCCAATAATTGATGGAAAAAATAGGCAAAATCCACTCAAGCATATCCATATAATATTTTCAATAAAGTCCCTTCATTTTATTTTGTCTCAGTGAGTACTTGAAAGCTCGTGACCAGGTACTAAAATGTGTTTACAGCAACTGAATAAAACTAAAAGGTGGATGCAATTCTACATATTGCATCAGCCAGAACTTCAGTCATTTTTTCCTTTCAATTCTTTCACAAGGTTCAGCCATCTTATTCTTCCCATTAGAATAAATCTTAAATAAGCTTTATTGAAAAACTATTTAATGTTGTACCTAAGATTAGTGTTGTACGTAGGAATTAGATATGTCTTTTTTATTCCCTTCTTCTCTCTCATTCCCATATTATTTTTACAAGAACTTAAGAAAGGGAAATCAAACCTCTCAAATATATTTCTTTTCTATTTTATTTATCTCAAGCACACAAGGTTTAGCCTTCTTATCTTATCGTTGATTATTTGACTATTGTTTTCCAAGGAAGTACTTAAATTCATGTAAGAGGTTTGCTCAATATGATGCATGTATACGTTGCTAGTATAAGATACAATTCATATCAGATACGACGATACGTTTATTCTAAAAAAAGTAGGATACGATAAATATAACATACATATTTAAAAATGTAAAAAAAATAAAAATAAAATTCGTGGAACATAATAACTATAAAGCTACAATCATGCAAATCCAAATTTCAAATCACATCTGTTAGAAATGGTGGAAATTAAAATTATAAATAATTATCATTATAAAATATTTGAAGTTATTTTCATATAGAAATAAAACTATCATTCTCATTAATTTCTTAAAATACTTTATAAGAACAATTTTTTTTCTTTGATTTATGAACATTAATATTTATACTTTTCTAAATAATTATCACTACAAAATATTTTCTGTTATTTACATGTAGGAATAAGACTATCATTCATTAATTTCTTAAAATACTTTATAAGAACAATTTTTTTATTTATTTATGAAAACTAATATTTATATGTTTCTATTTTATAGATAGATATGTGTTTCTTAAATTTTTATTGAATATAAATTATTTAAAAGTTTTGATATTTAACTGACATATACGTTTGTAAACTATCTAAAAATATTATTTGTAAAACAAATAAAAATATTGATGCTTCATAGGTTTGAATAGTTCATTGATACATATAGTGAAGTATCAGTATAGTGAAGTATCTGACACGATATGTATCGGATAAGGATATGTGAAGCAAATTGAAGTATTGGTAAGCAAATTCAAGTATTGGTGCTTTATAACCTAAACACTTGTTTCAACACTAGCACCAGTAACCTGCCTAAAGATTATTCATAATCCCCTATAGCTTCCTCTAGATCTATATCAAATCATGGATGCCAATAGTCTTCACTATTGAAATTTTCATCTATGCCATTTGGGTTTGGCAATACCCATAAAATGGGGATCACTCAAATTTTCCATTAACCACCACATCCTTAATGGTGTGGTTAATTCATAAGCAAAACGATGTCCTTCATGGGTATTGCCATCATACCTTTGGAGGAATTTCCTGCATGTGGATATAACCTAACCTACCAACTGCTTTTTTCTTCTACGATCCATTTGGTGCTTACACAACATTTTTCGCACTATCCAATCCCAAATCTGCCTCTCATTCTTTCTTAAAGCTATCCAAATTATTTTTCAACTAATCCTTCTCAAATTTCCTTCTACTTTTCTTATTAAATTCGAATATAACAGTGGTCCACTGTTTCTTTGAAAGAGAGATTATATTGCATTCTCCATTAAAACTTCATCTAAGCATGCTTGCTTAAAATGCTCTGTTGTCTTCAAATCCCATGTAGCCTTGCCATTTGCTTATGAGCTTCATCTTCTATTACAAAAACATATATAATTCCTTTTATCTTGTTACTCATTGGATGTTAGAAACAATAAAAGGGAACACTCCTTAGTCAAGCAGTTCTCTAACACAAACAAAGTGGTATTCATGGAAGAAGGTTTTATACAAGACTAGTAATTTCTTTTTTTGCTTTGATTGAATAACTTAACTAACGGTTTTGTATGGCATCTACAGTCAAACAACAACAGTCGTTCCTAAGAGTTTAAGGAGTTTTAAAGGGAATAAGAAAGGCCTAGGCTCTGTCAAAACATAGAGGAGGAAACTCTGTTTGAGGAACTGGATTATATTCTCACAGTTTAACAACAACATCTAGTTTCTAAATTGTAAAAGCTTATTTTGCTGAACAATATTTATGCAAGCATGTATTGTAATTTGTCTTAGATGTATCTGCCCTAACATATTTAATGACTTAAGATAATACAGCATGTTGGATAAATTAAGGTTGGAAACACCCTTGCTCACTTTAAAGGATCTTTTCCTTTTTTATTCAATTCTCTGAAGAAAGTCAGATAAATCAATAGCCAACGCCAGCAATTCATGGCACAATTCAGTAACAAGAAGGTAAATAAGTGGGCATAGTAAAAAACCTATGTACCTTTGGAAAACAGAAACGTTCCTAAAAATAGGAGCATAAAGATAAGGATCTTCATTAACTGAAGGGGCACGATCGATCTCTCTCTTTGCCAACACAAGGGCCTCGTTGGGTGGCAACAGCCGTATGTGTTTCTGAGATATATATAGATATATACATCCAGAAAATTATTGGTGGTGTCTCTCCTCATCATACTATAAAAATAAAAAGGCTTTAATTTCATCAACTTCTACCTGCTTAGCAGCATGCCTTTGAGGGGATAAAGACACTGCGACTTTCGTTGTATCAGCAAGATGTTTGTCCTTTTTACTCCCAGTTCCAGAACTCTTCCTTTGAACTTGGGCTTCTAGTTCTGCATTCTCTTGCTCAACTGGGAGTGATTGGATCAACTTGTTAGACGCATTAGGTGAAATAACGCAGTTAGCAAGTGTGAGGTGAACCTTTTGAAGTGTCCCCCCTTTGGGAAGATTTTTGGACTGTGGGGAGCTATTATAGGATTGGAACAATAAATAATCAGTTTGGTGATGAGAACCGAAGGGTCTGTTTGGTAGAACTAAGTAAGTATGCACAAGCGTCTGAAACGCAAAAGCAGATACAGTCAAAATAGCCACCAGAAGAAAGAATCTTCGCCAAATAATTTTGTTCCCAAAGCAACGCCATAACAACTCTCTAATCGGGATGAAAGGAGTTCGTTGGAAGACCTTCTTCATCTCATATCTCAATGCTTCCACGAATCGAACCTCCAATACCAAATTCTAATCCCTATTTCACTTGAAGCAATAAACCAGATAAATTAATAATTAATAACAACAATGATAATATTTATAACAATGCGCGAAGAATTAAATACAACTTACTAACCAATAAACTTTACTTTTTTAGCATGCAATGCGAACTGGAACTAGGTGAATATCGAAAATAATGCATGGAGTGAAGCGATGTTAAGCTGATTATTATAAGAACATGCGGTTTAAATGGATAGAATTAGGAGAGTATAATTTTTACCTAATGCAGACGATGGATCGGAATCTGGTAAACTCCGGCGCCGATCTCAGAGGAGTTTGACGGAAACGTCCCACAACCGGTGAGCAGCACCTCCTTGGCTTACGAACTGTTACGACTTTCGACGATGCTGACTGTCGGATCAAGGCAAGAACGACGGCTTCTTGTTCCATTAGCGGTCAACTTTTTTCCCCTGGGTTTTATATTTAATTTTAGAAGGAAGAACACCAAACGTAAGAACTCTTTTTTGTAAGAAAGTTCAATTTTCTTGCTAAATAAGGTCAGATGAGACCCACGTTCATATTCTCTGATGTAAACATAAATTCTAGGTTAAAATGCCTTTTGTACTATTTTCGTAGTAAAATTCGTTTTCATAATTTATTTATTTATGGGGAAAATATATTTTTATCCTTGTAATTTATGGAATATAATAAATAATTTCTATAATAAAATTCTGTGAATTTTTTAAAATTTTATTTATGTAACAAACAAAAGTGTTAATCTAACTTAATATTATTTATCCTTGTAATTTATGGAATATAATAAATAATTTCTATAATAAAATTCTGTGAATTTTTTAAAATTTTATTTAAAAATTTATTTATGTAACAAACAAAAGTGTTAATCTAACTTAATATTTTTTACACACGTTTATGATTTTTTCTTTCTTTATCTTTCCACTACAAAGTAGGTAATATTTAGGTTATAATGTGATAATAACATATTTTATGAAAAGTAAATTTATTAAGACTTTCCAAAATATTTGGAAAAAAAATGTTGTTTAAGATTCTGTCTAAATCATATCAAGATAATTTATTTTTTAAGAGTAAAAGTTTATAGTGAGTGGATTGGTGTTCTTGAAATTGTGTTCTACACATCAAAAGAGTATGTTTGCAATGGAAAAATACCTAATATATTTTCCTTTTATACTCAACTTCACTTCCTCTCATTCCTCAACATATAGATCCAATCAACTGATGATCTAATAAGATCAAGTTCCATTGAATCTTTCTCTACTTTTAGTCTAGTATACGTAATTTAAGATTAAAGATTTAGGGTTTAATATTTAAATTTTGGGAAGAAAAAATAATAAAAATAAACCATCAAATACATATGCAAACTAAGGAAATATTAAAGCTTTAGATATAGTATTTTTAATTTTAATAAATTAAAGTAAAATTCTCTTTTCTTCTTCTAACTCATAATTCTTTCCCCAGTCAACTCACCCTTTCATGTTAAATATGCTATGGAAAAAAATAGTGAAATAGCTTGACTTAAATTAGAACTTCCACTTACTATTTTGCAATTTTAAATGGAATTAAAAATTAAACCTATAAAAATACAAGTTTACATTTTATATTTGTGAAATTAACTTGACAATTTTATATTACTAAAAACATATTTATCTTTTATTTAAAAATAATTTTTTATACCGTTAATGAAGTTCATAATTTTATTATATTTTAAAAGTTTTTTCTTATTTTTTTTATAAATCAAAGTTATATGATAGTGATTAAAAATTGATAATATTATATTTTACTTAATTATACTAAAACTAATTATAAGACCATATGCTTTATAATTTTCTTATTTAATCACAATTTTTTTTAAGTTTAAATTTTTTCATATATGCAAATATTTATTATTAATATTTAATATCATTTCAGTTAATTTATTATTTATGTAGATTTGTGAATAGGGATTTGCACTCGTATCACTTTATTTTATCTACAAATTTTTGTAGATTTATATTGATTTGGGTATGGATCTCATGAAAAACCCTAATAGTGGAGAGAAGAAAAACATGTATTTGCCTAAAAAATGAGGTAATATGGCATAAATAACCTCGTACAAACCGTAATAAACAGTAATAATGTAATCTAACCCAGTATATGTTTTTTTTATTCTGCTTACTCTATCAATAATTAATATATAAACTTGTTTCTTTATATTTTTTTTGTTTGCAATTGTATTACATTTTTTCCGTAAATTTAGTTAAAAATATTATTATTCAATTATGTTATATTTAATCATATAAGTTATAATAAATTCACTCAAATAATTTTAAATTTAATTTCTTTCTCTAAATTCCACAAACCCAATCTAATTAATTTTCTCATATTTTCACCCCAATCCAAACAGAAGTTAGAATATTTAATATTATAAAAATGAAGAAATAAAGTGTAGTATGCATATAATATCTCTGTCTCCACTAATAATTGTAAATCTAAATAATCTACCATAAAAAATCACATAAATTAAAAAAAATGGATATAAAAGTGACAAAAAGACAAAAGGGAAAAAATAAACTTTGTGTGCACTAATGATATGCATGTCAAAATGATCTATAGTTTTATCTTTGCCTACAGTTTTGTAGCTGTTGGAATCTTCTTGATACTTTCATTTGAAAAATAGAAGACCTTAAACAAAAGATTACATAAGGTTCTTAGTTTTTGGATTGCATGTTAAAATTCACTTAAGCTACTCTCATTAGTTTCCCATTATATAAAGATAGTAATAACTATTTATTTAATATAATACAATAATCAACCTTCAATTAAGAGATGTATTGATGGTGGATTATAGATTCTCTCACAAATATTTACATTAGGTCTCTTGCCATGATTTCATTGGAAAAGTTGAATTTATTTTAAAAAAATATTTAATAATAATTTTGTTATCATTTTAAATACAAATAAAATTTACACAAAAGATTTTAAACATTAAAGACATTTTTTTAAAAGACTTTAGAAAATAAGTCTGGGATGAAACTTTGGCAATGAGGAAAGACGTTATTTTTTAAGAGTATATATTAATTGTTCCCATAAGAGAAAGAATAGTACATATAAATAATTTTAAAAAATATAGTTTATAAATTCAAAAAATTGTAAAGGAGATGACAAATTATGTTCTAATGTAGTTTATGAATTTATATGTTTTATTATATTATTCTAGTGTATTAGTAATTTTGTAAGAAGTTCAACAACATACGATCAAATTTATATATGAGGTATTGTTTGTTTGAAAATTGTAATTTATTATTAGTTTTTTTATAATGTTAGTAAATTAAAAAAATGAAGTTATATATAAGTTATGTATATTTTATTTTACTTTTAAATATGCGTTAGTTAGTTAAAAATTAAAATTATATATAAATTATGTTATATGGGACTTATAAAGACATTGAAGTGAGTTTCTAATCAATGATGAAGAGATAAAAGTGAATAAAAAATCTGTATGTTTAATCACATGATAAATAATTTGAGAAATAAGGGAATGTTTCATTCTACAGATAAAATAATTAAAATAAGTCATTGTATTTGAAATATTATGTTTTTCAAAATGTATTTTAATAAAAAAATTATAATAAAATCAAACTTAACTTTCAAATTTAACAATAATTTGTAATTGATTTTAATAATATTATTATAAAAAAATTAAATTCTTAAATTACATAGTCATTAGTCGTGATGTCTTAATGATAACAGTAATAATTCAATAATAATAAAAAAAGTAAAAGTAATAAAAGGTCAATTTACCTATTTTAATAAAAATAATAATAAAGTGAATTTATCCCATCTTAAAATATCTTATTACGTATAAAAATTAATTAAATGACTTATCTGATAATATATATATATATATATATATATATATATATATATAAATCTTTTGAATGATATGAATGTTTTATTAATTTTTATTTAATAATTAATATTATACTCACTACATCAAGAAGACTTATCCGATAAGATCTTCAAATTCTATAAAACCTGACGAGACATATTAGGAAGTTTAGAAATAATAAAACATACAAATAAACATTAAAATGTTTCGTTTGTAATCAACAAAAATATTTCTTTAGATATTGTTTTAATATTGCAAATTTTTAGACAAAAGAAACCGAACTCATAAAATCATGTTATAGACAGACATATTAGGAAGTTTAAAAATAATAAAACATACAAGCAGACATTAAAATGTTTCGTTTGTAACCAATCAAAACATTTTTCTAGATATTGTCTTAATATTGTAAATATTTACACAAAAGAGGCGAGAACTCATAAAATCATGTCACATGAACCTATTTTCAATTGATGAAGATGTTTCTACTGATTCTGAAATACTATCAATAATTAGTATAACAAAATATACTAATGAGATCAACTTGGATAAAAGCTACAAAAATTATGAGTTAATAAATGATTTTACTAATAATGAATTCATACATTTATATTCTAAAGAAAATGATTTCCAAATAGATAATAAATATAATGAAATAGGATAAATATTAGATAATTTTGGATATTGTCTAATGAATATAATAGAGAAAAATACATGTTCTCATAACATACAATTGTTTTTAGGACTACAATTCATTCCTTGTCTATATTCCGATAGATACTTTCACATTTCTCAAAGGACACATTGTCCCCTTTGTTACAAAAATTTATGTATAGAATGTATAAAAATACATTTAGAAATACAAGAAATACCCACTTTCTCAAGAAAAGAAGAAAATATAAAAGATATAAATTTAATCGATACTAGAACGTCAGTCTTAGAAAATAGATTAAATATCCTCAAAGAAAAGGTTCTTCACCTAGAACAAATCATTAAAGGAAAAGATACCGAAACAATCCCAGTATCAAAATCAACACAAACAATATGATGAGAACTACTGAATGTATCACATTAGTTTGTAATGAAGAACAACTAATAATTGTTAAAGTATTAGTAAAATTGAATTTTCCACACAAAAAAACAAAAATTTTGCTAAAGAAAAACAATTCAAGCTCTCTTAGATACAAGATGTTCTGAAACAGTTATTTGCAGAACAAAAATACTTTCATACATGATTACCAAAAGTAAGCATATACAAAAAACCAGAATTATGTCTGGAAAGATAATGATAAACGATGAATAAATAAACAATATGTCTCTTTAATTTAGCACAAATTGTGACTTATTTGACCAGAAAATACATATTAAAACTATGCTAGTGAAAAATTTAGTTCCCTCCAAACAAAACATGATTATAGGTTTAGATTTTATTCTGGACCAAAATCAAATTATCACTATAAACAAAGATTATGTTATCATTAGTAATAGAACACAAATGTCCCCTATAATTAGTGGCGACAGTCATAACAACACAGAACAACCTATTAAG